TGGAAGCAAGAGCAAGCCAACAAAAAGTGGCGCTCAGTTGAAGGAACAGCGGCCTTGTCTGTGGCTGGGGCAGGCATGAGCTACGTTAACCTTGTTGGGGTGGTCTCCAAAGTGGAAACTGCCCAAGTTGTATAAACACAAAATAAGTAACAGCACTTGCCTCTGCTCCATGTCCCTTCTACCCACACGTCCTACGGAAGCAAAACCATGCATCAGGTGTGTCTCCACCGTGCTATTCCGGGACAGATGAAAATAACCTGTTCAAAAATAAAAACACTCCAGCAACGTGGGCGCATTTCTAAATCACTGCGCAGCCTGAGCACGGTGCCAGCGAGGCCCCGTCCTCTTCCGGTGTGCACCACGCCCACCTTTGCTGTGGCCAGGGCACGGCCACCAGGACACATTCCTTCAGGACCCATGGGCCACTCTGACCCTGAGCACCTGTGGCCTCAGCTCCCTCGGGGCAGCCAGCCTCCCTCTGCTCTGCCCTCAGCACACACAATCCTGCAGAGGAGAAGGGACACAGTCAGGAGGAAATGGAAGGGTCTCCTCAAAGCACAGGCCTGGGAGAGTCCCAGCGAGGACCGCGCTGCCTCCTAGGATGGACCAGAAGGGGGCCCGGAGCCCCTCCTGTAACAGGCTCCAGCACAGCATGCTGGGCACAGAAATGACCCCCAAGAAGAGAGGAAATCCTGGCAGAGTCCACTGAGAACATGCGCAGGGGTCCCTGAGCTAAGCCTGCCTCCCCTGCCCCCAATTCCCTTGGGAAGGGGCCACAGCAAGGGGAGGGAGCCTTAGGAGGCAGCTCTGGCCCCTGTAAGAGGCTGGGATGGCTCAGACTCACAAGAGCTGCCTCTGGGCCAGGAACATAGCAGGAAGAGAGCAGCTTCTCCCAGGAGGACAGTGGCTTCTCCCACAGGATGCCAGATTCTCTCGGGAGGATGGCGGCTTCTCCTGGGAATGTGGTGGCTTCTCCCAGGACGGAAACTTCTCCCAGGAGGACAGCGGCTTCTCCCAGAGGATGGCGGCTTCTCCCGGGAGGATGGTGGCTTCTTCCAGGAGGACGGTGGCTGCTCATGGGAGGACAGAGGCTTCTTCCAGGAGGACAGAGGGTTCTCAAAGGAGGACAGAGGCTTCTTCCAGGAGGACAGAGGGTTCTCAAAGGAGGACAGAGGCTTCTTCCAGGACTCTCTTCTGGATGTGAGGCAGGAAGAACATGGAAGTCCTCTGAGGGGTCCCCTGTACTTCCTGTCTTCTGCCCCTATTTGATTGTTTCTTGAAGGGCAGCAGCCCCGCCCTCCTGGGCCCAGTCTCCATCTGCCTTCAGCTGTCTTCTGGATGCATCTGGCCTAACTGCACCCAGCAAATACAGACACCAGCTCCCCACACTCTCCCAGCGCTGAGGGCGGCAGCCGTGTCCAGGGTCCCAGCCCTCTTGTTAAAGCTCATCTGCTCCCAATCCCACAGCAGGCCCAGCCACGTTGGTTTCGAGACCGTGGATCGTCAGGAATGTTTGTGGAGGGTTTTTTGATTGACAAAGGGAACTTTATGGGAGCGAGCAGATCTGATGCTCCGGGCAGCGAGAAGGACATGGGAGAGGGGAATGTCTGACGTCACCAACCCCAGCTTCGGAGGAGGTGGCCGAGGAACGCGTTCATTCAGCCAGCGCAGACCCAAGACCCCAGCCCAGAGCTCAAAACTCAGACCCTCGACAACTCCGGAAGACACAAATCTGTCTTTCCCATTGTGCGGGTTCCCAGGGCAGGATGTCACCATGACAACCACTCTGCGCTCAGCAGCCACGACGTGAGTCAGATGCCACTGGACACCCAGTGCAACGGCTCACCAACAGCGTGTGGCCTCCAGTAAATGATCTGCTCTGAAACAGGGAGGGAGGGTGGAGTGTAGAAAACGGGAGGTGGGAAGGGAAAGCTCTTCTGTCATTTTAAAAGTTTCTGGCTAAAAGTTAGCTTGTATTACTGATATTCCATAAACAGGACTCTGCAGCCATACTGTGGAAGCGTGGGGCACTGGAGAAACAGCTCATTTCAAATAGGAAAATGGTTTGTGTTCACCCAGTTCCAGAAGCCAATTTTCAACTGCTTAAAATAGTCATGATATTTTACCAAGGTAATTATACTCTTAGCTCTCAGTAACAATTAAATCCTTAAACTAGAGCCGCTTAATAAAGGTCTTGAAATAAAACTGCACACTCCAAGCACTGTGTACTCAAATGTCAAGCACACAAGGAGGGCCTCCAATGGGACACCAGAGGCCCAGAGCCCCCACCAGCCGCAGGCTCGCAGCCCTCCTGGGTGCGCCTTGAGAGAAGGCGCTCCTCGACCACCAGCCAGCCGGGTGGGCTGCCGTGCAGAGCTGAGGTGGGCAGTGGCCAACACTAAGGTGCACAGACCCAGAGCAGCAGGCACACCGCTCCCTCCAGATGGCTGAGTGAACAGCTTCATCACGGCTGGCTGGACGGATCCTGCATCCCTGGCCTGGGGCTACATGGGCGACTGGAATCGATCCTTCATCAGAATAAACAACCAGTCCATGCCCGGTGATCAATATCCACCTTCTTGCTAACACAGAGCAGGCCCGTGAGCACAGCAGGGTCGGGGGTAGGCTGGTGTGGGCCAGAAAGTGCCAGAGGCTCTCCACCTGCAAAGCAGAGCAGAGAACAACAGAAACTTCCTGCCCTGGGTGGGCCAGGGTGACCCTCAAAGAGGAACAGCAGGAAGGAAGCCAGGCACAGACTTCCCAGGAGGCTGTGGGGCTCCACTGGACCATGAGGGAGCCCCACAGGGACGAAAACCACACCAGACATCCAGTGACTGCGTGCAACTCCTCATCGCGGCCGGGAGCCCTGGCACTAAGAGGGGATGTGGGTAGCACCAGTGTCCTGTGGGTCACAGAACGTCAGGCTGCGGGCCAGACCCAGCACACAAGAACACTCAGGCCCACACGTGACCCGTAAAGGGAACTCTTCCCATCAGCTTCCCACTGCTGACTTAAGAAACCAGAAGGTTCCCACGGGACAAGCCGCAGCTGAGGCCGGGCGGGGCTGCCCTCATGTGGGGGCCACACCTGTAACTCACCCACGCCACGCACGCAGAACCACCCCAAAGCGCTGCCCGCCTGGCCGGCGTGGGCCAACGTCAATCCCCAGCCCCGACCCAGAATCGGAGTGGGCCAAAAACAAGGTGCCCTCAAGGGGGCGCCACCCGAACACAGCCACGTTCCCGGGCACCCTGGGGTCATCGGCCCTGAGCCCAAAGTTTAGCAGAAAGGAGAATTGAGACCCAGAGAGAATGAGGGACATCTGAGGTCCCAGAGAAAGGCCCAGCTCCCAGCCCAGCCCTCCCACTCTTCCTCCCCAAGGAAGCTCCGAGCTTCCCGCATCACGGGACCACAGCAGGTCATCGCGCACTCAAAGATCACCAAGCCCAGGGGTCCCGCCACCCCGACAGAACACAGCCTCGCCCCCTCTGCTTCCCAGGGCCTCTCCTCAGTGGCAGGGTCGGGCTGCACTTGCCTGAACCCCCCGTAGTGGTCAGCCCACACGCTGTGGCCTGCTGGGCCCAAGCTGCTGTCTCCTCTGGCTCCAGGCCTCGAGGGTGACTTCAGCAGCGCTTTGTGACAAGCCGCCTTCTCTCCCTCCGCCATGGTTCTCCACACACACTTTCACAAAGGGGAAATCCTTGGGTCCCCACCTGAATGCCACCTCCTGAGAAACGCCCTTCTGCGGCATCGCCACGCCGTCCGCCTCTGTGGAGGTGGGTGGCAGGTGCTGGTTTGGTGCTGCTGCCTGACCCCGCTAGACAGTGATTACCCAAGGGTTGTGCCCACACGTCTGCGCCGCATGCACCGCACGCATCTTGCTTAGAAGCTGGCACACTAGCAGACACGGTGTCGGAAGAGAAGGGAGCACGGAGGAAGGTCCTAGAGCTGCTCCACAGAAATGCACTGTGCCTGACCATGCAACAGGGCTGGGTGTCCCCTCTGCCAGAGGTGGCAGACGGCTCCGGCTGAAAAGCCATGTGAGAACATTTTCGAGTGTCCCCTGTCTGGCGTGCACCTGCAAAGCCAGGGCTTTGGGGCCAGCCTCTGAGCTGTGCACAGGGGCCAGCTCAGCCTGTGTTCCGGACCCGGGCCCATGTGAACTTTTCCTTCAGGAGACAGCATGGAGCCGCCCAGGAGCGAGCTGGAGAAGCCATAAAACAGCGGCTTCGGAGCAGAAACGTTACTAATTTTCTGAAAGCTCCACAACCAAGAGGTCCCAGCAGCAAAGAGCCTCGGTTTTCATCAAAAACGATCAAGAACAGGCAAACATTCATGAGGCACAACTCCCAGCACTTGACAGGTGCAGCATCCATCCCAGGCCAGGGTGACACAGCCCTCCGCCCACTCAGCACTGGCTGGAGGCGGACAGGGGGAGCCTCCGCCCAGCAAGCTGGACACCTGCCCTGGCCCAGAGAGCATCTGGAGACAGATTTACTTCTTTCCTGCCTTGTCTTCTGAAATTTCAGTGCTCAAGGAACATTTTAAACAACACTCACAAAAACTGTCTTTCACGCTCCAGTGACCTCTGTTCACGGTGCCAGACATCAGAACCCCCGCAGGCACCGACGATTAGAGTCGGGCCATGGAGCCGCCCACAGGTGGGGCTGGGGCACACCTGGAAGCAGGTGACAGCCTTCATCCCAAGCCCAGGCCAAGATCCACACAGTGAAACCGGCATCACTGGACGGCAAAGCATGAGGGTGCAGACTGCAAGGGACACGGGTGCCTGCAGAGGGTCCACAGCAACAAGGAACACTCTCCAGGGCTCAGCACCAGGCCGGGGTGGACACTGAAATGCTGGGGAAACTGAAAAGGGTGGGGCACACAGCAGGCCCAGGGAGTCCCACAGGGAGCACCAGGGCTGAGCACTCTGGCACTCCCAGAACCCTCCTGGCAACCCAGGGCCAAAGTGCCAACCGTGACCCAGCTGCACTGACCCAGCTGCAGCACTCCTGCCTCCACAGTGAGATCTCGCTGACCAGGTGTGCGCTCGCCCGCAGCTCCCTGCAACTCTGATCAAATGTGAGGGCATAAATCACCTTGGTGAGCAGCAGGACCCGTTTCTGGAGCCTCCGGGCCAGCGCCTCGTGCGTCTCGCGCTTCTTCCTCTCCTCCAGCAGCTGGCCGCTGACCTGCCGGAGCTCCTCCTGCAGCTGCTGCCTGGCCTTCTCCAGCCCCCGGGCGCTGCACAGGAGAGACAAGAGGGCAAAGCACTGAAGCCTGGGGTGACCACCCCACCGCGACCCGCCCCACCCCAGGAACGAGCCCACCAGGACACCCTAAAATAGAGCTGCACGTGCAGCCCCCTCACTGCCATTTCCGCACTGCTGAATAGCTACTTAAGGCCTTTCAGGAGTTTCTGGATTTCAAATAGACTCCCAGGGTGATCCCAGAACACGGCAGGGAGGGGGAGGGGAGCTCAACTCCACACACAATGGGAAAAATTGTCGGCGACGCAGCCCTTTGGGAGACGGGACTTCTGAATGAGCGAGATTGCAGAGCCAGCGCTTCCCCTCTGAATCACCGCAGATGTGCAGTGTGGTGCGGGGAAGCAAACGCTGGGCGCCTGCTGGGGGGGCCTGTTCTAAAAACATTCTGCGAGGCTGAAAGCCCAGCCGGGCGCTGAGCACTGGGAACCCGGAGGCCTCCTGCGGGCCGACGCCACGGGCAGGGCCAACTCCAGGCTGCCCAAGAGGCCTCTCCCTGTCCGCCCCTTCGGGTGGCTGATAGTTCCTTTGATTTCTGCTTTTGAATCCTCCCTTTTTCCTGCACGTTCCCCGCTGCCTCAGTCCCTGTGCTGGTTGCCTGTCACCTGCGTCACCACAATAGCCTCCCAGCCCCTCGACCACTGGGCACCAAGCTGTCTCCTCAGACAGCAGAGAGGGGCCATGTCACGTGATTTTGAAGCCTTTGGTGGCTCCCAACCACTCCTGGTGAGTCTCCGAGTTCACGGCCTGGCCTCAGGGGTTTGGATCTTGCCCCTCTCTCTCTGTCCTTCAGAAGCTGACTTGGGAGCCAGACAAATGACAGCGTCCACGGACCCTGACTGCAAGAATCCACCTATGATGCAACAGCTTTCCGTGATTCCGGGAGCCCCAGGACTCTACCTCCCCACCCGAGGGGGCTCCCAGGAAGGGCGCAGCGAGGTGCACAGAGGAGAGACTGCCCCGGAGAGAGGGTGAGTCAGGACTCCACCTCCGCATGGGACAACCGGGCACGCGGGTGCTCCCAGGAAGGGACGCAGCCAGGAGAGATGAGAAGCCGCCCAAGAGGAGGCAAGTCAGGACTCCGCAGCGAGGCATGAGGACGTGCCCAGGGAGGGACACCACCAGGAAGAAGAGAGGCCGCCCTGGGGAGGAGGCGAGTCAGCAGAGGGAGGGCCCAGCCCCACTCAGACAGCCCAGGGCAGGTGCGGAGTGGAACGGCGCTGGAACACAGGAGCTGCACACGACTGTACTGAGCATCACAAACTTCTTTCCAAAGGAAATCTTAACTAAATCTCGAGGAAATAAAACATAGCACTGGGATGGAGAAAAGCTAACGGGGACCACAGTCCTGTGAGGCGACCATCAAGGAGAACCAGGATGAGGCTTTCCCTTCCCCAGTGTTCTGCCGAGGCGCCGTCATCCAGCCCCAGGATGACTCTCTCCCCAGAGGCCCCACCGAAAGCGCCCGTCCGCCAGCCCCAGGGCCGAAGCTTTTCCCAGAACACCGCCAGCGCTATCCGCCAGCCCAAGGATGACTTTCCCAGAGCTACCGCCCGGCGCCATCCGTAGCCCCAGGATGAAGCTTTTCCCAGGCCACTGCCGAGAAGCGCCATCATAGCCCCAGGATGAAGCTTTTCCCAGGCTCACCGCGAACGTGTCACTTCAAGCCAGGATGTTTCCCCAGAACACCATTCAAAGAAAGAGCCATCACTGGCAGGCTGTGCAGTGGCTCACGCCTGTCATCCCAGCACTTTGGGCCGAGAAAGCGCCATCCGCCAGCCCCAGGATGAAGCTTTTCCCCAGAACACCGTTCAAGAAAGAGCCATCTGTGGCCGGGCGCGGCGGCTCACGCCTGCAATCCCAGCACTTTGGGAGGCTGAGGCGGGCAGATCACGAGGTCAGGAGATCAAGACCATCCTGGCTAACATGGTGAAACCCCATCTCTACTACAAATACAAAAAAAACTTTTTTTTTTTTTTGTATTGCTTGCAGTGAGCCAAGATGTTTGGAAACAGGAATGTGGGAGGGGCCATGAACACCACCCTCAGGCTCACGCCTTCCTGGCCATCAATTGCTTCTGCTTGGCTCTAGTTACATGACTCGAGGAAAAGCTTCATCCCGGGGCTGGCGGATGGCGGGGTTTTTTTTTTTTTTTTTTTGAGACGGAGTCTCGCTCTGTCGCCCAGGCTGGAGTGCAGTGGCGCGATCTCGGTCACTACAAGCTCTGCCTCCCGGGTTCACACCATTCTCCTGCCTCAGCCTCCTGAGTAGGGACTACAGGCGCCCGCCACCTCGCCCAGCTAATTTTTTTGTATTTTTAGTAGAGACGGGGTTTCACCGTGTTAGCCAGGATGGTCTCCATCTCCTGACCTCGTGATCCGCCCGCCTCGGCCTCCCAAAGTGCTGGGTTTACAGGCGTGAGCCACCGCGCCCGGCCACAGATGGCACTTTCTTGGGCGGTGGTTTGGGGAAAGCTTCATCCCAGGGCTGGCGGATGGCGCTTTCTTGTGCGGTGGTCTCCACTGGACTCATGTTTGAGTGAAGTGAATACGGGGTTTTTAACTGCAACTCAGTAGAAGTCTTTAAGTAAAGGGTAAGTTGAAAGTGAATGCGAATGCAACACTCACAGAACGTCAGAAGGGACTTGGTGGCGGTCCTAACCCAGACAAGCATGGCGGGAACCCCAGCCTGGCCACCCTCGGCCAGCCCCAGTAGAAGCCGCACAAGCCCACAGACTGGGGCCAATGCACTGGCGTCCAGGACATGGCCGTTTCATTTCAGCCTCGTGTGATCTTGTGAAATATGTATCTGATCGCCAACCCATCTCCCAGAACACAACTCCTAAAACCCTCGGGCTCTCACGATGAGGCCTTCCATGTGCCAATGACTGACGGTGGCTGCAGCCCCCAGGCAGCTGCAGGACGGGGCGGGTCACCAGGAAGCCCAAGGCCGGACTAGAGGCTCGGGACTTCAGTCCCACCTAAGCTCGGGGAAGGAGAGCGGCTGAAGGCTGAGTCGCTCACCAATGAGCAGGGGCAGAGTCAATGACATCCACCTGACAAGGCCTCCATCAAAACCCAAAGGCCTCTCACCGGAGCTGGGAGGGCTTCCACTGTTCCTGGAGGGTGGCGACCTCTATCAAAACCCAAAAGGACTGAGCTGGGAGAGCTTCCACTGTTCCTGGAGGGTGGCGGCCTCTATCAAAACCCAAAAGGACTGAGCTGGAGAGCTTCCGGTGTTCCCAGAGGGTATGACCTCTATCAAAACCCAAAAAGGACTGAGCTGGAGAGCTTCCGGTGTTCCCCCAGAGGGTAAGCGCTCTATCAAAACCCAAAGGACCAGGCTGGAGCAAAAGGACTGAGCTGGAGAGCTTCCGGTGTTCCCAGAGGGTGGCGGTCCAGGGAGAGCATGGAAGCTGCAGGCCCTTCCCCCACACCTCGCCCTGCGCATCTGTTCATCTGTGTCCTTCACAGTAACCTTTATAGTAAACTGGTAAACATCTGTTTCCTTGAGTTCTACGAGACACTCCAGCAAATTAATCAAACCCAAGGGGAATCCCAACTGGGTGGTCGGAACCCCAGTTTACATCTGGCCGGTCAGAAGCACAGCGGCGGCTTACAACTGGCACCAGAAGGTGGAGACTGGGCCCTCACCCCAGGGTCTGACGCCACCTCCAGGCAGACAGTGTCAGAACAGAACTGAGTGAGGCTGAACTAAACGGCTGGTGTCCCAGGCAGAACCGACTGCTTGCTTGGTGGGTGGGGAAACACCCACATCTGGTCAGTCTTCCGTGTTGACTGCTGCGACGCGAGAGCAGAGGAAACTGTTCGGAGTCTTTCCCTTCCCATCAGCCGCCTGGGAAAGCCCTGTGCTGACACTGGCCCCAGGTGCAGCACTGGCTGGCGGCCCCCCGCCCCCCGCAGGTGCTGCATAAGCAAATACGCCAGATAAAATAAAAAACAGGCACAAAGCTCACGGGAAACACATATTATGAGGTTACTTTGGGCTCCAGTTCAATTTTAAACTATTCATGGGCCAATTTAATAGGCAAGGGCTGTAAAATCTACTCTTGAATCACTGAATTCAGGTGCAAAAGTTCACAAGTGCTTTAAATCATGGCTCCGTGTGATCATTTAACTCGAAGAATGCCACCGTTCCCTGTGCTCTGCTTTAAAGCCAGAGTGTGCAAAGGCAAGAATGTGACAGGTGCTGTGTTTCAGGTGACAGGCGCCCTCAGCTCAGCACAGGATGGCTGGGCAGCCTTGAGGGGGGCCGACAAACCCACACGCTGCATCCTGAGTGAGGCTGCCTCACATCTGTGTGGGGCGCATGTGGGGCTGGAGTCCCCTCAACAAGAGCAGATGCGAGTAACGCACACCCACGGGACAGTGGTTGTCCTGCTTCAGAGCTCAGGCTCCCGGCACTTGAGGACCAGGGCTCAGTACAATAGAGTCAGGCGCCAAGACTGGGCCCCAGGAACTAGATGTGGCCTGAGCTGCTTCTGACCCACTCTCCGCAGCCTAGGCCACCTCCGCGAGGCAGCACAGCCGGCACGGGGGCCACCTCCGCGAGGCAGGACGGCCGGCACCGGGGCCACCTCCGCGGGGCAGGACGGCCGGCACCGGGGCCACCTCCGCGGGGCAGGACGGCCGGCACGGGGGCCACCTCCGCGGGGCAGGACGGCCGGCACCGGGGCCACCTCCGCGGGGCAGGACGGCCGGCACCGGGGCCACCTCCGTGGGGCAGCGCGGCCGGCACCGGCGCGCCCCAAGCCCGGCCCTCGTCCTGCAACAGCGGCTCTGCAGAACTAGCACACCCCTCCTCTCTGCTTACAGGGTCTTTACCCACTCCTAGCTTTACAGTACCAAGGGAATAATGCGAACACTGACTCTGGGATGGAGGGGGAAGGTGGAAACAGCTACAGGCTTTGTTAAAGATCTGCAGGAGTGCTGTGGCCTGGCCAAGGACAGCGACATT